CCGCGTTTGGAACGAAGGAAAATCGTAGGAAAAGTAGAGGATTCGGTTCCAGAGGAAAGGAACTGCGTCCGCGCGTTTGGAACAAAGGAATTCAGCAAAACCTTTCCAGAGGAACGGTGACAAGGCGTGTACTTTTGGAGGAAAAAAAGAATGCGGTCAGACCTCTTGGAAAACTTTCCTGCCATGCTTGTGCGCTAACCAAGCTCGTCGCAACGTTTTTCCTGTGTTTTGGATTCCTGCGTTTCAAACACTCCTTCTAGTTATTTCCCGCGTTTTTCCTTTCATCTGTTTTACCACTACACACTCACCCTATTCCTACGTTTTTTTTTTCTATTCCCGTGTTTTTGATTCTTGCGTTCCAAACATGCCCCAACTATTCTAGTGCAAACCATTAGGCTCCTATGGAATCTAAAGAAAATTTTAATCCTACGTTTTGTATGTGAAATCAATACTGAATGTTGCACAATTCTAACTCCAAGTTCGTCCAAAGGGACCTTAGCAGGCCTACCGATAGGCGCGGGTACATCGGCCTTAAGGCCCATAGCATAAGTCTGTCTTGAGAATCTTCATTGCGTAAAACCCTAACCTCGCTAGCCACCCCGCCAGACCATCTACGCCCTCAAACCCTAGCTTCTCCTCAGACGAATCTCATATCCGGTCGCCACCACCTTCTTTTTCTATATCGCCACCAATATCTCGTCCACCGCGTCCTCCGTCAGCTACATCTTCTGGTTCACAGCGTCCTCCGCCAGCTATGCCTCCGCTGCCGATGCCTCGCCCACAGGGTCCTCCGCTCGCCTACGCCTCCACCGCCGATGCCTCGCCTATCGCGTCCTTCGTCGGCTCCATCGCGTCCTTCGTTGGCTACATCGCCTACGCCGCTGATGCCTCCCATCCAGCGTCCTCTATCTACTACATCATCTGCGCAGCCGCCACCGGCACTTTCGCCACCTACATCATATCCGCCGACGATTGCTCCTGTCTCGGTCCTCTCGCTCTCGGCGTCCATCTATGTCTTTACATGTCTTTTGTGCAGCTAGGATCATCGTCCGCTCGTCCGCGGCATTAGATTTCTTTCTTTAGTTAGTCCTTGCCTTGCCGCACCATCTGCCCCCATTTCGCATTGTTCTTCCTTGTCCCAACGTGATTTTTAGGTTTCTGTTTTTAGATTCAAACATTCATGTTTGAGGTAGGTTTGTTCCCCGTCCCCGGCGAGATTTTTAGGTTCTATTTGAGGTAGGTTTATGTTCTTGTTTGAGCTTTGTTTTTGGTGCTGGGTCTAGGGAGGTTGGAGATGTGTTGCCTGTAGGTTGGGTGGTGTTCTTGGGAAACCGTGTCAACTGACCTATCTGGCTGTTGCTGTGATTGATGGGGTGGTGTTCTTGGGAGACCGTGTCAAGTTTCTATGAATGATGTTGGTGGGCTGAGGGCGAGGCAGAGGGAGATGATGAATGGCTGGTTACAGGGCTGGTCGGACTAGGGCTTAAGGCCTACTTGGTTTGGTATGCCATTTTTTTGTAATGAACGCTAATTGCCTTAACTTAGGTTGCTTTGGAGAAAAGGTTAGGTAGGACATTGCAATTGTAAGTGAACTAGAAGAATATTAAGTTTATTTTTGGCAGAGCTTTAGACTTTTAGTTGTGAAATTATTGGTGTGAATCTGTGTTGTATTTAATTTCTTTAGCAGTTATGTCCTTAAGCTTGTGATTTTCATCTATAAGGCAAGATCTGTATTACAGTTGTTACATTCCTAATTAAAACTTGCATATTTTCTCGTTAATCGGTTGAGTCTCATCTCTCAATTTTTAATCCAAAGGATGGATCTGAGTGGTAGACAAGAATTTGCCCGAATCACTAAGAATGTTCCCTAAAGGTCCTAGCACATATCCATCCACTTAAACTATGCTCAAAATCGCAGAAAGGCGAAAGCCACCAAAAGAGAAAGAGAGGGAGACCGGGAGAAGAAAAACCAAATCTATTCGTAACACAAGATCTTGGAGACTTGATTCAGAGGAATGATTTCTTTATTCCTAGATGAACAAGGTCTAGTCTTACAAAGGAAAGATTAACACAACTGAGGAATGATACTCCACACCGTGGATCTCAACATCAGTCTTAGAAAACTACACATGAAAACTAAAGCCTAACTCTAGAAAATGAAAACCGAAGAGTTGAGCTGGTTAGGAGCAGTCATTCTCTTATTTATAGAGCTATTACACAATCCCTAATATGTCCTTAGATATTTTGCCGAACCACTTAACCCTAGAGGCAAAATGGTCCAACTTGAGATCTAAGCATCTGATGTCCATGTGCTCTTCATGACTTTGATTCACCTCGACACAAGCTTCACGATGATGCCATGTGCCTCCTCTCGTTCCTGCGGGAACTCCCAACATGTTTTGAGGTCCAAACCCGAAAACCGTCCGCCGGTGGTTTTAAGGCCCAAACCACCAAACCCCTCTAGAGAAGCTTATCCTCTACGCCTCCACGATCTCGACACGTGTCACCGTAGTCGACGCGCGATCACCATGTACTCTTGCGAACCTTCGCTTGACTTGGTCAACCACCATCTTGATTTGCTCAACACGGTCTACTCCTCCATATGTACACTTGCTTGTCGATGTCCCCAAGTGTCAGCAACCCACAGTCAGTCTTCTGACCATCTTGATCTCTCGATCCAAGCCTCATGCCCGTCCTTTGCCGCTCCGTGTAACATCCTAGGTTTTTGTGTAATACAAAAATGCGAACTTTTTAAAATTTTTGCTTGATGTTGTGTTGCATGTAGTTCATAGGTCAAAGAAACTCAACCCTCAAACCTCTTATCTTGCTTTCCAAAAACAAATCCTAAAAAAATTATTTGGAAATCCAATAAACCCTTTACTAGTGTTGGTCAACTCCAGTCAACACATGTATAATCCTCTCTCATTCAAAATACAATGGAGTCTAATGAAAACATTTAAACCTTTTACAACTCAAATTGTGCTAGCTCCCTCTCACCCTATTCTATTTTATGAAATCTCAATTCCAAAATTTTAATAACATTATCATAGCTCGACATGGGTCAAGTCATGCCAACGCTTTTGTTTCAAAACTAAAAATTGTATTTCTTAAAAATGAAGCTAGGTTGGATCCGAGTTCACACTCGAATGCAATGTAAACATATCTTAAATATTTTCTAAAATATAATTATGATGCGTTCATATAGTATATTGTGCATAATGCAGTGTAGGTGTGATTCGGGTTTTGCTCGATTTAATTGATTGGGGGGACAAATGATTACGAACCTTTTCTAATTCATTTGGAAAAACTAATTTTCAAGCCATCTCTTAGCATGGGTTCTTTCAGTTTGTGATCTCCGACCTCGGCTCACTCAAAGTATGATTCTTCCCGTTCTTGATCTCGGACCTCGTCTCACTCGAGTATGATTGTACTCATAGTAAACACTTCAACAATATTTTTTAGCGAACGAACAGTGTTTTCCTCTCACAACAAATCAGCATAAACATCAACATAAGCCAAATTTCATAGAAACGAACAGGGCCGCCCTTCAAAAGATATTTAAGATTATGTACGATATGGGAGATATCCTCATTTCTCTCTCATGTTAACCTCTCAACTATTGTAAATATTTATTTTTGTAATGGCATGGGAACATGCCTCTCTCGCTAATCTGGCATTCTGGCAGATCCATATAGTTCACTACTATGCTTGATGTTTAATGTCAGTATAAGAGATGGTAAATGGTATGAGTATGGCAATGCTAATAATACCACCTTAGACTATCTCCAACAGCAAAGACCCAAACAGGAGACCCATTCCATGGTTTGGGTCATGCACATTAAAAGAGTTGTATACCCAAAACTTGGCTTCTCCAACAACCCCTCTATATTTGCAAATAACCCAACCCACCATGAGCGGATCCCGCCTCCCTCCTGCCGAGCCAGCCGAGGTCGCCTAGGCGACTGCGTCAGCGCTGCAGCGCGCAACCGCCACGCGCGCCAATGACCTGTTGGTGATCTGCCTCGCCGTCGTCGTCATGAGCAGCCGGACCTCCTCCTCATTTAATCCACACTGCCTTGGACCTCCTCGACTTGCTCCTCCTCTCTCCTCCTCCGAGCCTCCGAGGAGAGGCTGGTAGACGACCTGCATCTGTCCGGTAGCGCTGCGTGGCGAGGGGTCCGTACTTGTCTTATATGCTTGGTTGAAATTAGAAATAGATGTGCAAATTTGACTCCCGGCCATAATTGCCGCCCGCCTCGTGGATGTTCTCCTCCATTGGCGGCGATTCTTCATGACCGTCGTGTCGAAAGAGGCAAGAACCTCTTGTGCAATTCAAGCGGTGAGGCGCCGGGAGGCAGGCAGAGGAGGTGGGAACCGGCAGTGCGGCCGGCGGATGGTAGAGGGAGGGTGGGAGTGGGAGAAGAGGAGGAGAGGAGGAGGAGGACCCAATATTAGACGGCCGCTCCACCGGAGATTTGCGTCGTGGAGAGAGGCGACGCTTATTTGCGTTCTGGTTCGTCTGCTACGCAAAATGGGTGCCCTGTTTGCATCTTCTGTTGGCGCGTGTTTCTTTTAGCTAAAACACTGTGGAGGACGCATTTTGCGTTTGCATCGCGTTTTGCCAACTCTGTTGGAGACAGTCTTAGGAAATGTGTAAGTGTTAAATCGATTTGTAGCCAAAGTTTATCATGAAATTGGGTCTAGCCTAATCGTCTGGATTGTTAACATGAGCATCTTTTAAGGTGGGTATGAGTGTAAATCCTTGTGAGTTGTGACTGTTAAGGTTGAGTACCACTAGCAAAGAAAAACCGGGATTCTTCGCAGGTATGATCACAACAGCATGTTTGCTACAATTCACTCTTTTGTTTTCAACCATGTATACCATCATGTCACGATTTCCATTCGTACCTAAAGAAATTGGTTGAATTGAAATAACACTGTAACAGCCGTAATCGTCCAATGTCCCAATGCTGAATTGCAATAGGCAGTACCTACTACTCCTACATGCGCGTGCAGGAGGTGTCGAAGCCGTCGGGCGCAACCCTGGCGATCCACTCAGCAAGGCTCCTCTTGACCTCGCCGTGGTTGACGAAGGCGAGCTCGTACATGCTGCACAGGTTGACCACCACCGTCTCGTTAAGCGCCGCCGTGGGAACCCTCTCGAGCGCGCCTTCCAGCACCTTGATGGCGTCGCCGAGGTCCCGCGAGTACATGAGGCACAGCGCCTTGTTGTTGAGCGCCACGGCGTCCGCGGGGTCCGCCTCGATGCAGCGCTCGTACTCCCGCACCGCCGCCGCGTAATCCTTGGCCACGATGCACTCCAGCGCGCGATTTCGGGCTAGGAGGTTGGCATGCCGCGTGGGGTCCTCGGACGCGGCAGCCACGGACTCCACGTAGCGGAACGCGGCTGAGGCCGCGCCGAGGTTGCCGATCTGGAGGTGCGCGTAGGCGAGGCGCGAGAGGAGCACCGGGTCGCCCGGCTCGCGGGCGGCGATGTCGGCGAGGAGCGCGAGCGCGACGTCGAACTCGCGGTGGGCGAGGTGGTCGGCGGCGAGGACGGACGCGACGAGCGCGTCGCGGCGGCGCCACTCGGGGTGCCCGGCGTCGGGGCGGCCGCGGACGGAGGAGAGGAGCGTGTAGAGGCGGTCGAGCGCGAGGGGGCGGTCGGGGAGGAAGAGTGGGAGGAGAGCGTGGAGGAGGCGGATGAGGAAGGGCGGCGGCGGGCAGGCCGGGTCAGGGTGGAGGGAGGCGAGCAGCGCGGCGGCGTCGGGGAAGCGTCGGAGCTTGGCCAGGGAGAGGGCGGAGAGAGCGGAGAGGAGGAGGCGGTGGTGCGGATGGGGCGTGTGGGCCGGGTGGGAGAGGTGGGAGAAGAGCGCCTGCCACTGCCCGCGAGTGGCCAGGTCGTAGGGGATCGAGAGATCGGGGAGGCCTGGAGCGGCGACGTCGGTCGCCGGCGGCGGAGGCGGGGAGGTTGGGGAGGAGGCAGCAGCCATGGGGCGGCGGGGGATCGAGATTGCCGAGATCTGGAAGACGAAAAGGTCTGGTCGACCGTCGACAGGTGGTGGAGGTGGAGTGGGCTGGAAATGAACTATCTTATGCAGGTAGTGGGCTTCTTCGTTTGTCTGCTTGGGCCCCGTTTGGTATGGATTCCTATGGATCCGGCTCCTACTAACACAGCCGCTCTAGATCCACTGCTGATGAATCTATTTTTCTCTCTCATCTACTCTCTCACTGACACAAGAAGCTGTTGGAGCCAAAATTTTTAGCTTCACTTCACCCTAGAACAAAATACCGAGAATCGAGAAATGACCGAAAATATCGAGAACCGAACTTAAAATACCGAAACCGAATTTTTCAGTACCCTGTTCGATTCATAATTCCCAGAAACCGAATTTACCGAGGTAAATTTGGTACTTTATCTTAGGGATCCGAATTTATCAAACTGTGCTCAGTTTGAGTATTGTTATATTATTGATAGCACTATTTTAGTCTATTATATTACGTATTTATGGTACTTTACTCTTATAGTATTGTGGAACAGTAGCACTACAGTGAACAAACGAAAATTGCAATGGGACTTTGGGCCTACAGTGAAAATTGCAATGGGAGCCGGAGCTGCTAGAATCTATACCAAAGAGGGCCTTATATGTTTGACTTTGGGCCTGCAATAGAATTTTAATTGCTTTTGATAATAAGCCAGTAAGTTTGATAGCGCCTGGACGTTCGGCCGCAGGACACGTCCAGACACCGCTCCCATTCAAGTGCACCACCACGTCCAGTCCTGTCCTCGCGTAAAGGAGAGCGCTCACCGCGTCCACGTCACCTACGACATTGAAAGTGTAATCAAGCCGTAATTGTGAATTTTGGTGATAATGACCACGCAATTAGAGAACTAATAAGATTTATCGAGATGACAAGCAGGAATTTATATTTGATGATGCTACACGAAACGGAGGAGCCCCCAATTACAAATATTAATGGCTTTAAACTCAAAGGAGGTTTCAATTCTTTTATATTTTGAATTTGAGTATAGGAAAAGCCATACTATAAAGGAGGACACAATGCTTAAGCTAACATGTGCTACCAAGTGCTCAAACAAACACATGCATCCTCAAATTCACAGCCAAGATAGCCTAAACTTCACTCTTACCCTTACTGTCTTGACTGGTGTGGCACTGCCACACTTGAAGAGAGGCACTGCCTCACTTACGTCGTGGCACTGCCACGATTTAAGTGACCGTTGGGGTTAAGGGGGTATTTATACCCATCCTCTTCCTCCCCAACAACTATCTTCTTCCTTCTATTCATTCCAGCTCGTTCAAAACAGAAAAGGAGCTCTCTCTCTCTCCCTCCACTGGTGACCTTGAGCTCTTAAGCAAATACATTGATTTTCCCATCAATCTTTAAGAGAAAAGGGTCTAAAACTCGATTAGAAAGCAGCTCCATTGATTCCTCAACTCAAAAGAGCACTTGGTTCACGTTTTGGCCAGTGATTGTGTTTGTTACTCTTGGAGCTTGGCTCCTAGCCGGCTAGAGCATCGCCCGTGGAGCTTGCCAACTTATGTGGCAGCCCCGGGAGGTTTGTAACCATCTCTTGAAGCTAGTAAACTCACCCCTCATCTCAAGAGTTAAGTCTCTTGACTTGAGAACGAGGAAGGATTGGAAAGCCCTAAGCCTTAGTGGCTAACCTCAACAACGTGGACGTAGGTAAGCCTTTGTGGCGAGCCGAACCACGGGATAAATCATTGTGTCTCTTGTGCTTTATTTACATTACTTGCATGTCATATTATTGTTAAGATGATTTCTAGGGTTTCTAGAAGATCTACTTATGTGTGGTGTTCCTACTACTTCTAGCTCTTGATCTGTGACTATCATACCTACAGTAAGCTGAGAAATTTCTCCGATCTAAGTTTTCGTTCACTAATTTTGAACTGTGGCTCGAAGTTGTCTGCAGGTGCGGCAGTGCCGCTGTTCTGGCCCGGCAGTGCCGCCCATTAGAGCGGCAGTGCCGCATGGGTGAAATTGATAAAAGTTTGAGTGTTATTTTGATAGGCCTATTCACGCACCTTTAGGTCAACCAGAGGTCCTACAAATGGTATCAGAGCGGGTTACCTCATATACGCTTTACCGCATGAGGTATAGAGCCTGGAGGAGGAACTAGTGGCATGAAGTCGGTGGATGTCGACACGGACAGCAGCGAGCTGAGCGCGTCGATAGCAAGCAACACCACACTACCATATCTTGAGGCTATCGATGCTGAAAGAGCTCTCAATGATAATGAGAGAAGAAGGAAGGATGCAAGAAAGCTAAAATGAGAAGCAAGAGAGAATAAGAAGGAGGTGCAGCGGTTAGAGGAGAAGAAGCAAAGGAAACCTCTACTTCCTCCACTAGTCAAGGTTGTGGAAAATGTTTTAATCTTGATTTGAATACCTATTCCACTAACCTTGCAAACATGGAGGCTATGAGAAAGAAGATTGCTAGGCTTAATGAAATCATTGGAAAAGGATGGATGGGTGAGACCCAATCAAATGACAAGAAGGTTGACGAATCAAAAGGGCCACAATTCAAGTAAGAAAGGCATCCCTCAATCAAGCATGGGCTCGGCCACACAAAAGGAGCCAAGACAAATGGAAGAAGGATAGTGAATGGCTTTGAGTGTGTGTAGTTTGAGAGGAAGGATAAAATTGGTATAGATTAGCCTGCACAGACCGCGGTAGTGTAGCGTCCTAGAGCGGCAGTGCCGTGCCCCACAAAAATGGGAAGGCTACTAATTCTGTTTCTGATCAAACTAAGCCCAAGAAGGTGTACCAGCAGAAACAGGTTTTTCAGAAGCCTAAGGAATCATTGTGCGCCACCAAGAACAAGTATTCCTATCAATCAAAGACTTATGCACTTTGACAAAGCTTGACATCTTGCTTTGTTTTGAAGAACAACAGCAGTGGGAAAGTGGTTGCAAAGTATGTTGGAAAGGAGACCAACATATATAGGAATACTTCTATTTGTGTTCCTAAGATTCTTGTGACTAACATGCAAGGCCCTAAGTTAAATTAGGGACCTAAATCTAGCAACTAAACTTGTTTTGTAGGCATACTCATCCGATGGATCAAGTTGGGTGCTTGATAGTGGATGTACAAGTTATATGACTGGAGAAAGGAGTATGTTCTCATCATATTCACCGATGACGCACTCCAATGTTTTTGAGGCGTCGCCTAGGCGACAAGGCATGGCAGAGGTGCTGGGTGTCGGGGGCGCCACAACCTACAGTGGTATGGCGTCCGCCTAATCATATTAGGCGTCGCCTAGGCGTATAAAGGCGTCGAGCGGACGCCTACAGCCACGCCGCGGATGCCGTATGCCTACTCAAGGGGAAGAACACCAAAAGACCGTGGCCCTATAGGAAATCATCTGCGCGCCCGCACGAAAAGCAACAAACGCGGAAAATCGACCGCGCGGCTACCCAGATAGGACCTACACGCGGGAAATCGATCGCTTGTCGCGAGTGCCGGTGAGGGGAGAGGAAGAGAGAAGGCGGCGGACTTACCTCGAGCTCCACTTAGCTGCTCCTCTGCTCCAGTCCACCGGCTGTCCGCCCCTACCACGGAGCCAGCCCTGCATCGCACATCACTGCTTGCCTCTACCTCTGCCTTCGTCCGCACCTTTGTTGACTCTGCCTCCATCCGCCCCGTCTGTAGTCTCTAGTCCGCACCTCCATTGACTCTGCCTCTGCCTCGAGTCTGCATCTTTGTCCGGGGTCTGACTCTGCCTCGACTCTACGCCTCCATCGACCATCGACACTCGGCAGCTGCTCGCCCACCTAGCCTATTGTCTATAGTCTGCACCTCCATTAGGTACTTCCCCTTCCACCTGGCATGCCCCCTACCTCCTCTCTGCTTTCCCAAATATTTAAGGCATGTACTCTGCTGTCTACTCTAAATATGCCGTGTGCTCTGCTTTCCCAAACATAAGGCTCTTGCTTTGATTAGTTACTTATTAGTAATGCTCTTGCTTTCTTTTATGTAGCATCTAGCGACATGGCAAGCTCAAGTGAAGCACTTGATTATGATCCCAAGACTAATCCAGCAAGGAAAGCGAAGTCCAATGATCTAGGCTAGAAATATGCCTACTGGCAGGACCCTACTAGGAGAGACTAGGTGACATGCATCCTGTGTGGAAATGAGTCTTCAGGAGGCATAAAAAGGTTCAAGCAACATTTGGCTGGTGGAAATGGAGATATTGTCCTTTGTCCAAAAGTTACCACTAAAATCATGAAAGAGATGGAAGCTTACTTGCAAAAGAAGAGAAGATGGCCTTTGTTCTTGGATGGTATTGAGGAGGAAGATGGGGAAGATGAAGTTGTGGAGGTGGCAGCAGCAGATGTACAAGCAGGAGCAGATGGGGGTGCAACACCAAAACCGGCTGCAAAAAAACCAAGTTATGGGACAGCCGCCAAGAGAAGGCATGCTACCTATCAATTCAAGGCTTCAAGACCTAGCAATGTCAATTCAACACCAAAGACACCAAAGACAACAAAGTTTGTTGTTGCTATGCTTAGAAGAACACCTGAACAGATAGTAGATCAAAGGCGTGCAAAGGACTTTCAACCCACCATTGAGTCCAGCACAAAGACTAAGGAGGAGAAGCAATATGTGGATTTGCAATGGGCACTATGGTTCATGGAGTGTGGTGTATCCTTTAATGCAGCAAATTCAAGGCAATTTGAGATTGCCTGTGAGGCAACAACCCAATATGGTTCAGGGTACAAGCCTCCAACTAACCAATAGCTTAGTGAACCTTTGCTTCAAGAATGTGTTAAGGTGACAAGTGCCATGAGGAAGGACCATGAGCAGGCCTGGAAGCAATATGGTTGTACACTAATGTCAGACAGATGGATTGATATGAGAGGGCACCACTTGATTAATTTTCTTATGAACAGCCCTGAGGGAACGTAGTTTTTGGAGTCAGTTGATGCATCAAGTCAAGTTCATAGTGCAACAATGTTAGCTGATTTGTTACAGGAGAAGATTGAGGACATTGGAAAGGACAATGTTGTTCAAGTTGTGACCAACAATGGTGCTAACTACAAGGCTGCTGGTAAGATTTTGATGGATAGTTTTCCCACACTATTTTGGAGTCCTTGTGCTGCACATTGCTTGGATCTGATGTTGGAAGAAATTGGGAACTTGAAGGCATTTAAGAAACCTATTGCACGTTCTAGGCATGTCACCACATTCATTTATAGGCATGGGAGGCTTCTTAGTGCAATGAGGGCTCAAACAGGTGGGACTGATCTTGTTAGGGCAGCAAAGACTCGATTTGCCACATCATTTCTGACATTGAAGAGTTTGTACAAGAATAAGGATGCCTTGAAGAGCTTGTTTGTTAGTGAAGCATTGATTGGGAACATCTTGTGTACAACTACAGCAGGTCAACAAGTGTAAGACATTGTGCTATCTACTGAGTTTTGGAACTCAGTAGAAGATTGCCTAAGAGCTTCAGCGCCACTCTTAATTGCTTTGAGGGCTGTTGATGGTGATGAGAAGCCTGCAATGCCTGAGGTCACGGCTCTAATGAATCATGCAAAAGATAGGATAAAGCTCAGCTTCAATATATCAACCAAGCAGGGCCTGCTCAAGCGTATCATGGACATTATTGAGAAGCGTTGGGTGAACCAAATGGAGCATCCATTGTATGGGGCTGCACTATATTTGAACCTAGGAAAATTTTATCCTCTTGTAAAAGCTAATGATGATGCCACTGTTGGGCAGCTAAGAGGTTGTTTTATTGAAGTGCTTGGAAGAATGATACCAGATGTGGAAACACAAATGAAGATTAATAGGTAGGCCATTGAGTATGAAGAGCAACGTGGAGATGCCTTCTCAAACAAAATGGCAAAGGGAAGCTATGACAAAATGAGTCCTCGTAAGTGTTATTAATCTTAGCTTGCAAATTTCAGCAATTTAATTGCATTACAAACTCCTAATATGTGATGTACTTTTCATCCAGTTGATTGGTGATGTTCTTATGGTGGCCGAGCCATTGAACTACAAAGACTTGCTAAGCGTATAGTTAGTCTTTGTGCTTCATCATCTGGTTGTGAGAGATGCTGGAGTACCTTCAATTTTGTGAGTATCCTTGTGATTAACAATTTCTATTTAGATGCATACAATCTGATTTTTTGTTTTGCTTCCCATCTGATTTTTTGTTTGTAGATGCATACAAAGAAAAGGAATAGGTTGCTACACAAGAGATTGAATGATATTGTTTTTGTTTCATGCAATCGGAAGATGAGAACAAGGTTTCAGCTTATGCGTGAGAAGCAGACAAGAAATATGACCCTTTGGTCATTGAGGAGTTTGATTGGGACAATGAATGGGCTAATTCATTGCATGTGCCCATTCCGGGTGCTCGAGGGTCTGATGCTGTTAATGAGCTCACATGGCAGCATGTTGATGAAGCCACCGGTGCATCACAAGCACTGCAGGATCATAATCTTCCTAGGAGAGCTACTACTACTTAACATTATAGTCATTCAAGAAATGTTCCTGTTCCTGCTACTGAAGATGGAGAAGAGGAAGATGAAGTTGAAGACCCACATGATGATGCGGAAGTGAGCGAGTGTGAAGAAGATGGCAATGTTCCTGCTACTGAAGAAGACAAGGCTGCTGATCCTGATGAGTTTGATGATGGATTTTGAGTGTTGAAATAGAGATTTGCACTCCTGCTGATGGATTATTTTGTGTCCTGCACCCTTGCTGTACTTTTGTGTTGTCCTGCACTCCTGTTGTATGGCTTTGGTGTAGTTGACTTAATTAGTATGCTTTAGAGTTCAGTACTTCATTCTAAGTTTGTGGACTATTTGAGACAGACAATGATGTCATTTGTCATGCTCATGCATGCACTAATGCTTGCTAATTTGTTATCTTGCCTCTTGTGTATTGTTTTCTATTTAATTCTCAGCAACTGATAACATGTTTGATTGTTGAATTCTGTAATTGTCATGCAGTTTCCTTCAAGGGTGATGGATGCTACATGGGAGAAGAGCTTTTGGAAAGGAAAGAAAGGAACATGGGCTCAAGAATTGGCAACAAATGAGGTATGTATGTGCTGCACTAGTATATAAAATTCTAGCTTGCAACTCCTTACAATGTGTGTATGGCGTCGCCTAGGCATCCTCCACAAACGCCTAGGCGTTGTGAAGGGGGTCGGGCACCGTGGCGCCTCAAAAACATTGACGCACTCAAATAAAAATAGTCTTTGGAGACAATTCAAAGGGGGGTGTGATTGGTCTTGGAAAAGTTGCTATAACTCTTGAGCATTCAATTACAAATGTATTACAAGTTGATTCGTTGAGTTACAATTTATTGTCCGTTTCTCAATTGTGTGAGATGGGCTACAATTGTCTCTTTACGGATAAGGGCGTGGAACTCTTTAGAAGAGAGGATTCCTCTATTGTATTTACGGGTCAATTAAAGAACAAGCTTTACTTAGTTGATTTCAACAAAAGTAAAGCTAAGCTTGAGACTTGTTTAGTGACAAAATCTAGCATGGGTTGGCTTTGGCATCGCCGACTAGCCCATGATGCGATGAGGAACTTGGCCAAACTTCTAAAAGATGAACACATCCTTGGACTAAGAAATGTTCACTTTGAGAAAGATAGGATTTGTAGCGCTTGTCAAGACAGAAAGCAAGTTGGCGTACCTCACCCACCAAAGAGCATCATGACCACCAAGCAACCATTGGAGCTAATGCATATGGATCTCTTTGGACCGGTTGCCTACCTAAGTATCGGGGGTAGCAAATATGGTCTTGTTATTGTTGATGACTATTCCTGTTTCACTTGGGTATTTTTCTTGCATGACAAGTGCCAAGTTCAAGGGAAGGTGAAGATATTTGTTAGAAGAGCTCAAAAGGAGTTCAGTCTTCCCATCAAAAAAGTGAGAAGTGATAATGTGACCGAATTCAAGAATACTCTAGTTGAGGAGTTTCTTGATGAAGAGGGCATCAAGCATGAGTTTTCAACTCCATACACCCCTCAACAAAATGGTGTAGTAGAGAGGAAGAACCATACACTTATTGACTTGGCAAGGACAATGCTAGATGAGTACAAGACGTCGGCATCTTTTGGTGTGACGCCGTCAACACTGCTTGCCATGCCATCAACCGCCTCTACCTACACAAGAAGTTGAAGAAAACTTCATATGAGCTTCTAACCAGTAACAAGCCTAAGGTGTCTTACTTTAGAGTGTTTGGGTGCAAATGTTTCATACTTAACAAGAAACTCAAAACCTCTAAGTTTGCATCCAAAGTTGATGAAGGTTTTCTTCTTGGTTATGGATCAAATGAACATGCTTACCGTGTCTTCAACAAAACCTCCGGGAGAGTTGAGATTGCGTTAGATATGACATTTGATGAATCTAATGGCTCTTAAGTGGAGCAAGTTGATTCAAGTGTTGTAGGAAAGGAGGATCCACCATGTGAAGCAATCAAGCAATTGACTATTGGTGATATTAGACCACAAGAAGATGAAGTCATTGAAGTGGTGGTTCCTCAAGTTGCTGTTGCACCTATTTTCGCTGACGTACCTGATGCTACACTACAGCAAACACCTGCAGCAACTCCTACACGTGGCAGTGTCGCACTTGAGGGTGACAGTGCCACACCTACACAGTCAGCAGCAGCTGATTCGACTCTAGCTCGTGGACAAAACCTACAACCCATATTTGAGCAAGATAATGATAAAGATCCAGAAGATGAACAAGAGGCCATTGAGTATCCAAGGCTAAGGCAAACAATACAACGGGATCATCCCGTTGATAACATTCTTGGTAGTCTTCGAAAGGGGGTAACAACTCGTTCATATTTAGCAAACTTTTGTCAATAGTACTCGTTTCTTTCCTCTTTGGAGCCTCTTAAGGTAGAACAAGCACTTGGAGATCCAGATTGGGTGATGGACATGCAAGAAGAGCTCAATAACTTCGAAAGAAACCAAATGTGGACTTTGGTGAAATGACCCAATACCAATGTCATTAGCACCAAGTGGGTCTTCCGCAACAAGCAAGATGAGAATGGAGTGGTGACAAGGAACAATGCAAGGTTGATTGCTCAAGGTTTCACTTAAGTTGAGGGCTTGGACTTTGAAGAAACATATATACCGGTGGCAAGACTTGAAGCAATTCGAATGCTTCTAGCCTATGCCACTCATCACGACTTCAAGCTATTTTAAATGGATGTGAAGAGTGCATTTCTCAATGGTCCTATTTAAGAACTTGTCTATGTTGAGCAACCACCGGGCTTTGAAGATCACAAGTTTCCCAACCATGTCTATAAACTCCAAAAGGCTCTCTATGGGCTTAAGCGAGCACCAAGAGCATGGTATGAATGCCTTAAGGAATTCTTGCTTAAACAAAGCTTTGAAATAGGCAAAGTTGATCCTACCCTTTTCACTCACAAAGTTGGCAAAGATATATTTGTGTACCAAATATATGTTGATGACATAATATTTGGTAGTACTAATCATTCTTTTTGTGAGGAATTTAGTAGGATTATGACCAAGAGATTTGAGATGTCCATGATGGGTGAATTGAAGTTCTTCCTTAGATTTCAAATCAAGCAAGTGAAGGATGGAACTTTTATTAGCCAAACGAAGTACACCCATGATATGCTCAAGAAGTTTGACATGGTGAATGCCAAGCCTATCAAAACTCCCATGCCAACCAATGGACATCTAGATCTCAATGATGAAGGAAAAGCCATGGATACTAAGGTATATCGCTCCATGATCGGCTCTCTACTTTATTTATGCGCATCTAGGCCCAATAGTATGCTTAGTGTGTGCATGTGTGCTAGATTTTAAGCTAACTCGAATGAGTGTGACTTTGTGGCCGGTAAGAGAATCTTAGGATATTTAGTACACACTCCTAACATTGGCTTGTGGTATCCTAAGGGCTTTAGGTTTGATCTACTTGGGTATTTGGATTCCGATTACGCCGGTTGCAAAGTAGATCAAAAAAACACTTTAGGGACATGTCAATTCATTGGACGGTCCCTAGTGTCTTAGAGTTCTAAAAAGCAAAATTATGTAGCTCTTTCCATCGCCGAGTCCAAGTATGTTGCAGTCGGTGCATGTTGTGCTCAAGTACTTTGGATGAGGCAAACCCTTCAAGATTTTGGATGTCACTTCACTAAAATCCCACTCTTGTGTGACAACGAAAGTGCCATAAAGTTAGCCAACAATCCCATAAGCCACTCAAGAACTAAGCACATAGACATCCGACATCATTTATTGAGAGACCATGAAGCCAAAGGAGATATCAAGATTCGCCATGTGAGCACCGAAAAGCAACTAGCCGATATCTTCACTAAGCCTCTTGATGAGTCAAGGTTTTGTCCTTTGTGTAGTGAGCTAAATATACTTGATTCTCGTAACATGGTTTGAACTATAGCACACCTTGATTGATGAACTAGCATGGATAGAAGAAATGAATTGCAAAAGTTTAAATATTGTGCTTAAAATATTTTTCATAAGAAACAAGTGCATTATGATCATTGTTTGTATTGATTATTTGTTGCTGATCATAGTGTGCTTGAGATATGTGTCCATATCCTATATATATATAGGTATTTAGTTAGTAGCTAAATTTGCTGTACTGGGGAATGCGGCTGTGTCGTGCCTGCCCTGCGGCAGTGCCGCACTGAGGCAGTGCCACGTGTGGTGAGCGGCAGTGCTGCACTTTGAATTCCAACTGGAATTCGGCCTAAAAACTATAGTTACTGTGGGGGCCCATCTTACCTCTCTACTTCACCTGGCCCCTAGGGTAACTTCTCTTCTCCCTTATTCAACACCGTAGCCGCCGCCTCTTCTTTCCCGCACGCACGCAGCAGCCACCGTCGCAGCTCTATCCAGCACCGCGCCGCCACCTCTAGCACTGTCGCGGCCTGCTGGTGCTCTTCCTCAGCAGCAGCTGAAGTTCGTGGATAGAGCCATTCTCTTCATTTCCTCCTCAATTCGTGTAAATCAAGGTGAAGCCCTAACCTAGTCTCGATCTATGCCATGGAGCTCTATCTTTGTTGAATGATGGTTTTTAGTGACTGCATGATTTGGGTAGAAACTAGTTTGATGAATGAATTGAATCAAAACAAAGATTCATTGGTTGAGCCTCATATGTACCCGCGATAGTGTCGCGTGTTGGGTACGGCAATGCTGCACTCAACAGAATGAATATGTAAATACAGATGTTATTCCATCGATGACTCTCTGTTTTGGTTGGATTTGTGCACCAGATGTATTTCTATCTTAAACATGTAGCTACTTTACCTACATTGTAGACAACTCCATATATCTGTTTAGGTCTACTCATTCTGAGATTGTCTAGTGGTTTAGGAGAATGGTTGAGAAATAGTCTGAATAGTTGAGAAGAAATGAATCGTGGGAGAGGTGAAGCACTAGGTGCGGCAATGCCGCTCCTAGGGTGCGGTAGTGTCATACCCTCTGACCAGATTGGTTCAGGGTGCTTTCCTAACCCGTGATTTGAATCATCTCATCTATCCAGAGTGTTTTACAAGTGTTCTTCTATACCCCTTATGTATAGTTTCTCATTTGGACCTATATTTGTTTGCACAGATGGTATCTGGAGGTGATGATGACCAGAGGGGGAAGAGGAAGATAACCGAGCCTCGAGATAAGTAGATGCCTCG